GGTGCGGGGGTCACGGGGCCGGGCGTGCGGCAGGGCAGGCGGCCTGACTCCCTGCACGGGCCAGACTCGGGCCCCGTCACCGTCAAGACGTGGTTCGCGATGTGCGGTCCAAACCCGCGCTGCGTCCGCGTGCGGCCGTTGTCCCTCGGAGCCCGGTGATCCGAGCGCCCCTATTCCTTGCTCCCGCCCTTCCCCCCAACAAGGATCACACTTTCCACTTTCCCACGTTCATCCTGTCCAGTTCCGCCCACGTCCCAACCTGCCCACACCTGGCTGGATCCCCTCCCTGCCGTGCCGGGGCTCGTCTCCCGGCCGTGGAAGGCGAACCCGGGACAGTGCCCGCAGGGCCGTTCACGGTCACTGCTGGGCGCCGCTGTCCGCCTCCCTCTCGTTTCCTTTCATCTGTCAAGACGCTAAGTTGCCCCAGATCCTCCGAAAAGCTGGTGTCCACCTTCCGTCGCTGCGCGCACAATTAAGTCACTGCTGTTCGTGTGCGAATGTTAGTAGTGTCGGTGCAGAGACGGGCGACCAGGCCCCTGGCAGCCAGCTATTCATGGGCACCCATCCCCTGTGATAACAGAAAGCTGAACGGGTGGCCGGGCCTGTTGTGTTGAGGGCACCGCTGTGTCTGTGCAGCCCCTGTTAACGGCGAGCACACGGACAGGGGACGCTCCTCCGTGGTGACTGCCCGAGAGTTAAACCAGGGGAGACCAGTCTGCAGTGAAAGAGGCTAATTGCTTCTGCTAATTTTTGTGTGCCCTGGCATAATTGCAGGCAAAGGGACAATCCGTATGCATCAGTTGAAATGTTGTAAAGCCCTCATGGTCTTTAATTAAAAGCATATGGTGTAATTTGAGTTTGGGGAAATCAGGGAGTCTTTGGTTCTTGTGATGCCTACTTCCTCCATTCCCAAAAATGTTTATGAAGGCAATGTCACTGTCTGTGTGCAGACACCCCACATCCTTCTCATTAAAGAGGAGCTGTCAAACTTGACATAATTAAATATGTTTAGGAGTCGGTTGCTTCCATCACATTTGACTTGTTTTCTGTACCAGCTGCTGAGTACATTTCAATCTCGTTCAAAAATCTCTGTGCCCGTACAAATCTCTCCTAGGAGAATATTGTGTTTTGGAGATTTGACTTGGTTACATTTTGATGATTTCTCTGTATAGGAAAAAATACAGGTGGAAGACATACTTCGGCGGCTCCAGGAAGAAGGGATCAGCCCTTCAGCTTCTGTAGAAGAACAGCTCTGTTCCGTCTGGCGCTTGTTGCTGCGTAATGAAGACAAGTTACAGTCTGCGACTCGGGGCTTGGAGGAGCTGAGACAACAGCAAGCAGAAGAAATGAGAGAAGTAAGGCCTAGTTGATATTGGAGTTATATTTCTATTTCCTGGTTCTTTGCCATGTTCAAAATTTGCCTTGCTCATTTTTGTGAAGAATTTATTTTTCTCCACTGCTGGTAATTCACATTAAGAGCTCTTTGTTCTTATTCCATCTTCTCCTTGGTCATCCACCAAGGCAAATACCATAGGAATGGACTTCTAAGATGTAGCTCAGGGGTGCTCAACCCCCAGCCCATGGGGTAGGTCTGACCCACAGGGCCCTGTCATCTAGTCCACAGATGCAGTGTAGAGCAGTGCTAGGAAGGGGCTGAAATAGAGCCTGGCTGGCTCTGTTGGCCAGTTGTGTGTCAGCTTAGCAAGCCTGTCTACTCCAGATGGCCAGTGAGATTGGGTGAAACTGGCTGTCTTAGGGTTCCTAACATCAGGCTTCCAAAGTTGTCATGAAGACGGAGTTATAGTTATAGCTCCCTGTTCTCAATGCTTTCTCCATCGGTTCAAAGTCTTGCTTTTCATTTACAGCTATCTTGTAAGATAGGATATATGCATCTGTCTAATACCTGCCTCTTTGTACCTCAGTTTTGGTGTCTATGCCAACGTGTTTCTTGTTGGACTGGTTTCCATTACCTTATTAGCCCTCTGAGTCTGCTTCTAGGTATCCATCAACAGAGAGAAACAGGGAAAGCTTCAACTATCCCAAACATTTAAAAAGCTCTGCAAATGTTTGGTGGGTTTTTCTTCTTCTTCTTCTTCCTGGAAGTATGTTTAGACTTGTATTGTGACTAGTGAGACTAGTGCATGAGCTCCTGATGTTAATAATCAGCTGGACAACCAAAGTCTAACAGTCATTAAAAGGTTTCCACGTTTTTTTTCATTTCCAGGTGGAAAACTATGTGGGCCACGTCCGTAACCTGACAGAGGAACGAGACGCTCTTACCACTGAATTTGAAAAAGAAAATGAACAGTTGACACTCGAGTTACAACAGCTGCAACTCCAGCAGGGTAATCCCCTCTCCTTATTCTGAAAGGGTCTCGTATTTGTGCTTTAACAGTTGCTGTTGTACAGGGAACAAACTACAGGTTCAGGAGAGCTAGCTTAAGCTTGCAGGAAACTGTGATGATTTGTTTTTATACTCTTGTATTTCAGCAGACTAACTTTTATTAGACAAGCTTGTATAATATGCAGTCCTAGACTTTTTGTGGTATGGGAGCTGTGCAGATGCATCTTATATCAGTGAATACAAAACTAGTTGAATCATCATGCTTAATTAGTAGTTACCAATGGCTCAGTCACTATCTAGTTGGGACAGGGTATCAGGTGGGGCTCCTCAAGGGTCTGGCACACTTAGCAAATTTGCAGAGGACACCAAGTTGATTGACAGTGCAGACTCTGGATGGGGTAGGGTTAGGATCCAGAACAACCTGAACAGATGCGGGGGTGGGGGTAGAGAATGGTCTGCAGTCAACCAGACTAAATTTAGCAGGGACAAGTGCAAAGTCCTGCTCTTGGGACAGAATAACTGCATGCACAAATACGGACTGGGGAATGATTGTCTAGGCTGCAATACTGTAGAAAAGTACCTGGGGGTTACAATGTACCATAGGTTGAATATGAACCAACAGTGTGCTCTTGTTGCCAAAAAAAAAAAAAAAGGCAGTGGCTTAGTGGATTGTATTCAATGGAGTGTCTCTTTCAAAGGAAGGGAAGCTTGCTTATGGCTTTATTCCATTCCAAGGAAGGGAAGCTTGCTTATGGCTCTATTCCATGCTGGTGTGCCCTCACATGTCCAGTTTTGGGCCACACACTTCAAGAAGGACATGGACAGATTGAAAAGGGTCCAGTGGAGAGTGATAAAAATGATTAGGGGCTTTGGAGGCAGACATAGGAGGAAAGGCTGAAAGAGCTAAGGTTAATTAGTCTGGA